GTTGCTCTTCTCAATTATTTCTATATTTCCTTTAATTTTATTTAATCCCGCTTTGATCTTTAAAAAGGCTAAAAAATCCATATTTGGTCTCTTCCAGCAAGATCCTTATTTATTAGTCTCAACAGACACTCTTTGCCTCTTTACCGAGAAAAGCACTCAATAGTCCGGCCGAACTTCATGTAGTTTGGAATTAACAGTCCTGTTTGCTCATGTGTCACGGCCGTCACCGCCGCCAGCAGACGGGGGACCTCTGAGGACGCGGGCTGCAGCGGAGGGGCAGCGGCCGGGCAGCCAGCAGAGCGGGGTGCGGGTCGTACCACGCGCGTCACTGTGCCGGAGAGCCCTTCGCTGAGCGCATCAGCTTTTCAGGCTGCTCACCTGGCGGCCCGAAAGTGACAACAATCCCTCCAACGTATTTACTGGAGGGAAGTCTGGGCGAAGCAGACATGGCGCCCCCTCCAGGTCTGTCCGTGGGGAGGCGTGAGGAGAGAAGGGGAAAGCGCGTGGTGACGTCAGGCGGCTTCAGTTGTCCTTCTCACGCATGTGCTCCTCGCTGTGCGTTTACACAGCTGCAATAAAGCCTAAACTGCCTTGGCCTGACCTCTGCTATGCAATCCCAACATTCCCCTACAATTTACATCTTACTATTCAAAAGGCTGCCTCTCAAATCTGGACCTAAAGGAGTGTCCTGCCCTGGCCAGTGTAGCTGAGGTGGTTGGAACACTGTCCAGTGCACTGAAAGGTCGTGGGTTTGATTCCTGGTCGGGTGTTTATGGGGGCAACCAATTGATATTTCTCTTTCGCACAATGCCTGTCTGTCTGTCTGTCTCTCTCTTTATCTCTCTCTCATCAATAAAAAGCATATCTTTAGGTAAAGATTTTAAAAAGTTGTAAAAAAAAAAAAAAAAAAAAAGCGTTCCTGTTATGCAACCGGCCTCGCTGGAGAGACCGCTCAGATTAGAATGAACCTTGGGATGCTCAGCTCCAGCTGTGAAGCCTGGATTCACTGACTTGCTAGTCATCCCACTCACACCTAGTGCTGAGCACCCGTCCCCACAGTGACAGACCCGCAACTCCACACCAGAGAGGAGAGCTCTGAGAAGCCACTGCTGCAATCAGAATGGGAAAGCATTTACAATTCCTTACAGAGGAAGTACGTCAGGAGGAGGAGATGCCCTGGACCGGAACCGGAAAGCCCAAGCCCAGGCCGGCCTACGCCAGCAGCGAGCCCTAAACCTCCCTCCGGGTTGCGGGCAGCGGGGACCAGTGCAGAGGCCGCTGTGGTCCATCCAGTGCAAACAGCAGCTCCATCCTGGTGTAACACTGGCCACGGTGTTTACGTGGTGTTGCATGTAACACTGCAAAAGCATCTCTGTATGACAGAGAGGAAAGAACCCTCATTGTAGCTGTCCCTATTTGTTGCTGTTCATGTGCTGAAATGTCAGTGTCTCGTGGCTCTGCTTCAAACACTATCAAACACGCATTAGAAATAGCTTAAAAATACATATGCAAAGCAGGACAGTTCCAACTTTTAATTTAATTAAGGCCCGTGATTTAACAGAGGAAACTATAAACACAATGAAAGGAAAACCACAGACAAAAACCTGCTACGAAGCCAGGATGACTCTCCCCATGCATCACTGTGGAAATAAGAAAACAAGAGCAGAGGCGGTCTTCATTTAAAAAGTAACAACTTCATAACTACTAGAGGCCCAGTGCACGAAATTCATGCAGAGGGAGGCCCCTCAGCCCGGCCTGCACCAATCCAGGACCCCTCGGGGGATGTCCGTCTGCTGGCCTGGTCACAATCTGAGACCACTGGCCCCTCGCCTCTCTGCCTGCCTGCTTGATGCCCCTAACTGTCCCCCTGCCTGCCTGATTGCCCCTAACCATCTCCCTGCCTGCCTGATCACCCCTAACTGCTCTCCCCTGCTGGCCTGATCACCCCTAACTGCTCTCCCCTTCCGGCCTGATTGCCTCTAACCACCTCTGCCTCAGCCCCCACTACTGTGGCTTTGTCCAAAAGGACATCCAGAAGACGTCCGGTCTATCCGGTCTAATTAGTATATTACCATTTTATTAGTATAGATACTTCCCAGATTTCCCCAAAGATTTCCTAGTAAGTCTCCAAGTCAGGGCTGAATCAGCTATTTTTCTTCATTAGAATTCCACATAACTGTCCTTTGACAACTAGCAAGACTTGGAAGGTGGGAAAGGATTGGCCTCTGCATGACAGGACACAACGCAGCCAAGGTTTCAAACACCACACAGAGTGTGACTCCAAAAACTCCACCATCCATAGGCTGACAGCCTGCAGTAGCTTCCTGAGCAAAGGGAGTAAGTGCCTGACAATGCTCCACAAAGACTTCTGTTAAAAAGACCACTCTTTGCCTCCCAATCTCAATCACCAGGCATCCCAAGTAACAATAAATAAGGACTGCACGCATGTTGTACTACTAACACACCACCGCAGTTACAGTGGCGCATATGTTAACATATGCTAAGTACTATTCATAAAATATATCAGTATTTCATTAAAATGCCACCTTACATTTAAGTCCATTCTTTCTCTGTGTAACTTCAAGTTTACACTTCCGCGTGAATTAAGTTCTTAGGACAATGTAATTTATTAGTAACTAGTGACCTGGTGCATGGATTCCTGCACACTGAAAGGAAATTAATTAGAAGGTGGCTGGCGGGGCGGGCCTGGGTGAGATGGGCTGGACACAGCCTGGAGCCAACCTCCCAAGATCCCTCCCCAGCATCTGCAGAGTGAGCGGGTCCCTCCGCAGGTGGGGTCCCTCAGCCTGGCCTGTGGGGATCGGGCTGAAACTGACTCTTGACTTTCCCAGAGGGGTCCCAGAGTGTGAGAGTGCACTCTGCAAAGTTGCCATCATACAGGGTGTGAAATATAAACCCAAATGTGCAATAATTGCCCACAGTGCCCCGGCAACAACATAGCCCACGGCCGAAGGTGGAATCACGGGGCCCCAAGGGGAATCAGGCTCCTTCCTCTCCAGTTTCAAGGTGTGTCAACCAGGAACTACCGCTGCCAAGTCATTGCAGCTTGGCAACTCCTGCATTAAGCGTCTGCCCCCTGGTGGTCAGTACACATGATAGATCTGGTGATATGGGTGGAGGGACACTTAGCATATTAACCTTTTTATAATAATCCTATATAATAAAAGGCTAATATGCAAATGGACTGAACAGAAGAATGACCAGTTGCTATGATGTGCACTGACCACCAGAGGTCAGATGCTCAACGCCACTCAACAGAGCACAGCAGTGCGGGGAGTGGGCCTAAGCTGTCAGTAGGACGTCCCTGAAGGGCTCCTGACTGTGAGAGGGCACAGGCTGGGCTGAGGAGACACCCCCCCCCCCCCCAGGGCAGGGCACTAATTTTGGGCACCGGTCCTCTAGTATAGTTATAACTCTCAAAGGGCCAGAATACAATTTTGAAAGTATTTCCACCTTCACAGCACACATCTGTTTAGATCTGCAAAGGTCAAACCTCCTAGAGGAAGACCTCCACCTGCGGAGAGCCTCCTCCGGGAAGCCCAAGCTCCAGAGGGGCTGACCGCCTCTGGTGAGGGGCCTGCACCAACCACTGCTCCACAGGGACGAACCCCCGTCCAGGCACAGCCCGGTCTCCGGGCCACGGGCCAGCCTGTCCACACCTCACCAGCTAAACCTTCCCTCCACTTCCTCCTTCCAATCATCCTCTTACTCACAGGCTGTGCTGGGTTGAACCTGATGTGGAACTGGCTTTCAAGATGACACACTCAGAAAGGAATGGCCGATACAATGCTCCGAAGGCTGAGATGCGGCCGGCACCGAAGACCTCACTGTCGCGTTAACTGTGAGTCAGTAAGTCACTCAGCTGGAAATCAGGTCGCTGCTAAAGGACCCCCGAGAGCTTAGACTCCCCTTCCCTTAGACTGCATGTGACCAAGGCCGGGCCCCCGAAACACAGCATGACAGGCGGCTGAGGGGCTGCTCTCACAGAACCCGCGGCAGGCCTGTAAAGAACACGGCCCTTGAGCTTTAACTTGTGCACACAATTCCAATTCCGGTTACCGTTCTGGCAGGGCAGAGGCCTTATTACATGCCCTTGTTTCCTCATGTAAACAGCAGCCTGATCGGAGATTAGATTAGGAATTACTGGTGCGCACATCGACCGAGCCCGCTGACACCAATGACCCAGGGACAGGCTTCTGGGTGCGGCCCGAACGGGGCCCGGGCCGGGTCTTCCACCAGCTCTTCTAGGGGAGCCTGAGGGTCTGGACAAGACGCCCAGTTAGCAGAAGGGGAAGCGAAAGGGATTCACTGCCTTCCGGCTTCTAGGGATCCTTAAACGGCTTCACAAATGTACGCCCCAATAAAGCTAACAGCTCAGGGGGCCGACGGCTACCGCATCCTAGAACCATGAATGAAGGCACGCAAGCGTCAGATGAAGAAAGCTGAGTGACCCCCACATCCTGGCGTTCCAGCTACCCCCGAAGACACGGCGAGGGTCTGGCACAATCAGAGGAACGAATCGATCTGCTCTGCGCGGTGTGCACAGACCGGGCTCTCCGCCTCCCCATCCGCGGCGGCGGTGGCAGCGGAGGGGCAGCGGGCCGGCTGTCACCGAGGAGAGGCCCGCGGGCGGGGGCCAGGGCGGAGGGGGAGGCAGTGGCCGCCGGGCCCGGACCCCGGCGCGGGGGGCGGGGGCGGATATCCAGGCAGAGCTGCAGGAAATGATATCCAGACTCCGGGGTGGATCTAGGAAGCGGCAGGGGCGATGGCCGGGCCAGGGTGGGGGAGGGACGGAGGATGTGGCTCCCGGGGGCAGGATGAGGGGGCGGGACGGCCGAACGCGGATGAGCGAGGGCCGAGGAGCGCAGGGAGGGACCGGGAGCCGCGCAGGGGCCGCGGGGGCGGCGGGGCGGCGGCGGAGGCGGCGGCAGGTGGGAGGGCGCGCGGGCAGGGCGCGGGGCTGCGGTCCGGGCACTTACCCCACTCGAGGAACTCGGCCACGTACTTGTCGCGGCGCAGGGCCGAGTGGCTGCACTCGGTGTACAGGCAGACCAGCACGTCCAGCAGCGTCTCCACGCTCAGCGCGCTCTCGTGGCGCCACGGCCCGTCGAGGAGCAGCTGCTCCAGCTTCTTGAGCCGCACCTTGGCCGACATGGTGCCGCGCGGCCCGCTCCCCGCGCCCGCTCCCGCCGCCCCGCGCGGCGGCCCGTCAGGGCGAGCCCTCGGGGACCCGGCGGCCGCGAGCCCCGGCGGCGCCTCGTCGCCGCCCCGTGCGCGTCGTCGCGCCCCGGCCTAGGCCGACATCTTGGGCTCGGTCCCGGCGGCGAAGCGTCTGGGGCGCCGGGCCCCGCGGGTCCATGGGCCGGTCTCCTCCCCTCGGCGCCGCCGCCCTCTCCGCCCGGCGCGGCCCGCCCCGCCCGCGGCCCTCAGCCCCGCCCGCGGCCGCGCCCTCCCGCCGCCCGGAGCGACGCGGACCGAGCGCTGCGCAAGCCCGGCCGGCGCCCCAGCGACCCAGCCCCGACCCGGCGCCCAGCCCGCGGCCGCAGCCAACCAGGGCGCGGCCAGCGGCGCAGCCAACCGCGGGGGCCGGCCGTCGCCGCGCTGACCTCAGCGCGCCGCCCCGCCCCGCGCCGCTCCCGGCCCGGCTCCCGCGGGCAGGGCCTCGCCGCTCGCCGTAGGAGGCGGGATGCCGGGAAGGCGGGGCGGGGCGAGCGGGGCCACTGCGCCGCCGAGATTGCGGCGCCGGCGCGTGCGCATGCGCGAGCGCCCCGCACCGGCTCTGGGGGTCCGGCCGCGGGGGCCGCGGGGGCCGCCCTGGGCCGCTGGGCCCCGCAGACGCCTCGGAGGTGACGGACGGGAGGCCGAGGCCCGCACCGCTCCCGCAGGCGGCGTCCCGGGGAGGCAGCTTGGTGGGAAGCGCCGGCCGTGGCTCTCCAGCCTCGGTCCCCGCGGTCGCTGGCTCGTTGGGGTGACGGGGAGGAGGTGATGGCATCCCCGCCCTGCCAGGCCCGGTGTGGGCCTCGGGAGAGGAGGGCCGCCGGGAACTCGCGCGCGGTCGCCCCGGCCCTGGGGTGGGTGAGGGCTGGAGCGGGGGTGCCGGGCTGTGGACCCCTGGCCCGCGGAAGGGAGGGCTTCAGACGGGGCCGGGCGGCTACGGGATGGAGCCCTGGAGGCGGCGGGTGAAGGGCTGAAGACTGAAGACGGAAAGAAAGCCACGGAGACGGGAGTGAGAACAGCGGCTGCCTCTGTGGCGTCTTGGCTGGAAAGGGCGAGAGGGAGACTCCGGGGCCGCAGGAAAAGGAGAGTTGGGTTGGGCTGTGGTTTCGCGGGGCTGCTCGCCCTCTTCCGGCTCAGACTCCGGTTCCACAGGCCTCCTGTCTGTTCCTGGGCTGTTCCTGTCGCCTCCTGCCCCAGGGCCGTGGCACCTGCCACACCCTCCGCCTTGGACGCTCCCCTCCAGCACCCTCTGTTTTTCCTGGCTGGCGCCCTCACAGCCCACTGCGCCTCCAGATCCGGGCCACGTGCTAAGCCTTGGGAGCTCCCCATCCTTTCCCTGCCCCAGCCCCTGCCCACTTTTCATGCTCTCCATTGCCCTGTTCCCACGTGTCCCTGGGGGACTGGTGACCATGTATATAAAAGCCCAAGTGACTGGCCAGTAGCTATGACGCACACTGACCACCAGGGGGTAGACTTCAATGTAGGAGCAGAAACCACAGGCATGGGAACATGGAACAGACTGATGAATCTCAGTGGGAAGGGGAGAGGGGGAGGGTGGGAAGAGATTAACCAAAGATCTTACATACATACCGGAGGCCTGGATTCATGCACCAGTGGGGTTCCTTGGTGTGGCCTGCACCCTCTTGCAACCCCGGACCCCTTGGGGATGTCAGCCGGTTTTGACCTGATCCCCACAGGCCAGGCTGAGGGACCCCAGGTGCACTAATCCATGCACCAGGCCTCTAGTATGTACAATAATAATCATTACTGGGTTATTTGCAACTAAAATAATGAAAACCGACATTGAAATGCAATAGGAATTCACTGGAGAGCTTTGAGCCTGGGTGACAGTACATTTTTAATACTCTGGAACTTCAAGGAAGCCTCCACAGGAAATTTGCAAATAAGGAAACATAGAGTGTTCTCTAACAATATCTAAATGTCACAGAAAAGATGTAAAGGAAATAACACCTGAACATTTTGCTATTTCAGTAGTATACAACACAGAATGCACCAGGAAGAAACTTCTAATAGAATGTAGTGAACAGTGGACACTGGGGGTCAAATTTTGACTTTAGCATCTGTCAGTTATGCAAACTGGGTTACCTAACTGTCTCATTTTATTAAAAAACAAAACAAAAAAATAAAATAATGAAAACCACCCGGCCGGCGTGGCTCAGTGGGTGAGTGTTGACCATGAACCAGGAGGGCCCAGGCTCGATCCCCAGTACGGGACATCAGGAGGCAGCCGATCAATGATGTTTCTCTCATCACTCATGTTTCTATCTCTCTCTCTTCCTCTCTCCCTTCCTCTCTGAAAGCAATAAAAATCTATTTAAATAATGAAAATGTAAACATCCATCAGTAGACACAGATAATTATACATCTATCATATGGAATTGCATGAAGTGATGTGGCCCTAGCGGTTTGGCTCAGTGGATAGAGCGTCGGCCTGTGGACTTAAGGGACCCGGGTTCAATTCCGGTCAAGGGCATGAACCTTGGTTGCAGGCACATACCCAGTAGAGGGTGTGCAGGAGGCAGCTGATCGATGTTTCTCTCTCATCGATGTTTCCAACTTTCTACCCCTCTCCCTTCCTCTCTGTACAAAATCAATAAAATATATATTTTTAAAAAGAAGTGATGTGGGTGCACTCATTCAGCCAGCCCGGAGCGCTGGAGGCTGCTGCTGTCAGCCCTGTCCTAGGTGCCCGGGCCGAGGCCAAGACAGACACCGAGCATCCATCCAGGCGGGGGCAGACCGCAGACCGCGAGTGTGAGAAGAGAACTGCAGAGCCACGAGGGCTGCGAGGAAGGCGGCCATATGCTGGCGAGGGAGGGTGCCTGCCTCTGGGGGAGGGGTGCTGTAGCTGAGACGGGGGCAAGAGGAGGCCAGGCAGCCCCTCTCCAGGTAGGAAACCCGCAGGCAAGAGGGGACAGAGGCGGCCAGTCCCGAAGGCGGAGGGGAAGGGGGGAATAGGGAGGGGGGCCTTGGCCTCAGGAGTGGCGGCAGAGGCTGCGGGGCCTGCCAGGCCAGACCTGGTCCTGCGGCTGCGGTGGCCCTGGCGGTGCTCCGAGGTTTCCTGCCGCCTGGCGCTCCGGCCACAGCTCTTCCTGAGGGTGTTTCTCTTCCTCCTCGCGCTGCAGCTGACAGCGGAGGGCTGGAGGTCGCAGCACAGCAGTGCCCGCCGGACGGGACACAGAATGGCCACTCGGTGTGTGCGTGTGCGAGGAGGAAGGAGGGAGAGGGCCGGGAGGCAGGTCGGACAGGCCTCTCTCCAGGTCCCGCCCCTCCTCCCTGCCCCCTGGGCAAGCTCTGCCCTGCCTCCCCAGGTGCTGTGCCTGCAGGGACCACCCACTGCCGCAGGCCTGGAGCCCGCATGCGCCCAGCGGCTGCCCAGGAGGATGCCCTGTGGGCTGGCGCAAGCACTGGCCTAGCTGGGCCCCGCTCCGCGCCTGGAAGTGAGATGGAGACCCCGGCAGAGCCTGAGGCCCAGCCTGCCGTCACACAGGCCTCACCTGCGGGCTCAGGGAGGGTAACAGGCAGTGGTGCTGGAGGGGACAGTGGCCGTCACCAGCCTGTGCACCCCGGCCCCTGCCCTCCTCACCACACTACCATGATCTGCCCCCACCTTCCTGCAGCACCCGCAGGCCCCCACCCTCCGCGCGCCAGGGGCAAACCTTCCCTGAGGCTGTCTCTGGGCAAACTCCCGCTCAGAAGCCTTCCGTCCTCCCGGGAGCGGGCGGGGGCGGGGGGGGGGGGGCGACCTGGCGGCGAGGCACCGCCCCCCCCCCTCCTGTGCCCCGCCGGCGCCGCCCTGGTCGGCCCGCGCTCCCCGCACTGCCGGGTCCGATCCGCCACCGGCCGCTCTGCAGGAACCAAGCACCCCCTTCCCCCCACACCCCCCATTCCCCCATTCCCCGGCCTCAGTCCCGAGGGGCCGCCCAGCCCGCCCAGCCCGACCCGTCCTCCCGGCCCCGATCCGTCCTCCCGGCCGCGGACCCCGTCCTCCCGGCCCGCCGGGAGCTCCGGGCGGGGGGGCGCCGCCTGGGAAGCTGGGAGCAGCCCTCCCCGGTGAGCCTCCGCCTCCAGTCCTCGGACCCACCCATCCCTCTGAGCCTCAGTTTCCCCGGCTGTGCCGGCCGGAAGCCGCGGTGGCGGCGGGCTAAGGGGGGTCCCCAGGGCCTCCTCTGGCTCGTGCACCCCGGAACCCCGCCCCGGGGGAGAGAAAGGGGGCGCAACGACCCGGAGACACAGACGGAGAGATAGGCTCCAGCCCCAGGTCCGAGGGGAAGCGGGGCTCCCTTCACCCCCACTCCCACCGCCGGAGGGGCCAGGTCCCGGCCCGGGTCCCCTCCTCCTCCTCTTACATCCTCCTCCTCCCTCCTCCTCCTCCTTCCTCCTCCTCCTTCCTCCTCCTCCTCCTCCTCCTCCTCCTCCTCCTCTTCCTCCTCCCCCTCCTTCCTCCTCCTCCCTCCTCCTCCTCCCTCCTCCTCCTCCTCCCTCTCCTCCTCCTCCTCCTCCTCCTCCTCCTCTTCCTCCTCCCTCCTCCTCCTCCTCCCTCCTCCTCCTCCCTCCTCCTCCTCCCTCCTCCTCCTCCCTCCTCCTCCTCCCTCCTCCTCCTCCTCCTCCCTCCTCCTCCTCCTCCTCCCTCCTACCTCCTCTTCCTCCTCCCTCCTCCTCCTCCCTCCTCCTCCTCCTTCCTCCTCCTCCTCCTCCCTCCTCCTCCTCCTCTTCCTCCTCCTCCGTCCTCCTCCTTTCCTCCTCCTCCTCCTCTTCCTCCTTCCTCCTCCTCCTCTTTCTCCTCCTCCTCTTCCTCCTCCTCCTTCCTCCTCCTCCTCCTCCTCCTTCCTCCTCCTCCTTCCTCTCCTCCTCCTCCTCCTCCTCCTCCTCCTCCTCCTTCCTCCTCCTCCTCCTCCTCCTCCTCCTCCTCCTCCTCCTCCTTCCTCCTCCTCCTCCTCCTCCTTCCTCCTCCTCCTCCTCCTCCTCCTCCTCCTCCTCCTCTCCTCCTCCTCCTCCTCCTCCTCCTCTCCTCCTCCTCCTCCTCCTCCTCCTCCTCCTCCTCCTCCTCCCCCTTCCTCCTCCTTCTCCCCCCTCCCCCCACTCCGGCCCAGCTGGGAGGACGGACTCCCCGCCCCACGACCTGCCCCCCTTCCTGCAGCTGGGCACCCCGCAGGCCTCGGGGCTACCATGACCCCGGGAAGGCGCCTGCCTGTGCCCCCCCTGCTCGCCCTGCGCTCAGGGCTGCGCTTACGGTGGCATTTTATTTTTATTTTTATTTATTTTTTTACGATGGCCTTTTAAACAGCGAAGCCTGGTGTTTGTACGGAGGGAAGGTCCGCCAATAGTCAGGCGCGGGTGGGGGGGGGGTAGTGCTGGGGCAAGACCCTGAGATCCCCACTTCCCTTCCGGCGGGGCAGTAGTGGGGGGCGTGTTCTCCATCAGACCCTCCTCTTCCCGCGGCCATCCACCCCCTCGGACCGTCCACTCCTCCCCTGGGACCTTCTGCCCCAAGGGTCAGCTCGGGAGGACAGTGTAGGACGGCCATGCTCATGCCGCTCTGCAAACATCAAATGCCCCCATGACCGCCCCCAAACGCGGTTTTGCCGCTTTGCTCCGCTGTGTGACCTCGCGGAGTAGGGTGTTTTACCCAAGAATGACCACAAGAGGGCGCCGAGAGCGAACCCTCCCGGCCCTGCCCGGGGCCCTGAGTCCCACCAACCACAGACGGGCCGCCGCCCTCGCCTCTGTTCACGCTTTGGAGGGTGAGGGTGTGGGTGAGGGGGCTGGGCCGGGGACAGTTCCAGTCTCAGAGATGATTGCTCTTCAGTCTTCATTCAGTCCAGTCCATCCTTCCACTGGATGGGCAGGGACCAGGGGCTCAGAGAGGGCGGCGCTCCTGAGGACTCAGAGCGAAGGCTGGCGTGGCCGGGACAAGCTCTTGCCTCCAGACCTCAGCGAGGGGGCTGAGAGGAGGCGGGAGGGGGAGAAACGGAATGGAAGGCTGGAGGCGAAGGTGGGACTCAGAGCTGACTGTGCAGGCTCAGATATGGGCCTCCAGGCCCAGCGGTAAAGAGACTTCCTGTCCCCCGGTTTCTGCTCCTGGTCAGAGCTTTACTCCACACGGCCCCCGAGCCCTGTTAGGAGCACACCAACCCCCCCTCTCCTCCCCCCAGCTGTGACAACCATCAGCTGACACCTGGGATGGCACCCAACACCTTAGGTGGCAGCTCGCACCCAAGTGCGGGAGCAGCTCAGCCCACGTGGACAGGCGTGGGGTGGCCTTGGGGGGGGAAGGGGGAGCCTGCAGCACACACTTTCCCGACTCCTGTGTGTCTGGTGGTGAGCAGCCAGTGACCACCCCAGCTTTGTGGCCATAGGTGCAGGGGCTTCCGAGTGGACAGGGCGTGTACATGAGTGGGGTTTTTCCGAGAAGTTAGCTGACTGGGGACTTGCCTCCCAGAGCGCCCTGTGCCTCAGGCCCCATCCTCAGGGGCCTCCACAGCCAGGCAGTCCTAGCCATGCCTGATCTATGCCAGCCTGCTTTTCCACTCTCACCTCTCTCTTTAAAAAACATTTTTTTGGTATTGACTTCAGAGAAGAGAGAGAAACATTAATGATGAGAGAATCATTGTCGGCTGCCTCCTGCACGCCCCCTGCTGGGCATCAAGCCCTCACCCCGGCCTGTGCCCTGACCGGGAATCAAACTGTGACCTCCTGGTTCCCAGGTAGATGCTCAACCACCGAGCCGGCTGGTCTGGCCAGGTTGCCTCTCTTTACACCCACGTCATCAGGTCCCCCTCGCCGCAGACACTGTGCCCAGATCGAGCCTCGCCTGACTCTGCCTGGCGCCCCCTCCAGACTCCTCATGACGAACCTGTGCAGAGAGCCCCAGCACACAACACACATGTTCACACTGATGCGTCTGTCGATCTATTCCCCCTGGGGACCATCACACCCTGAATTCATCAGACCAGGAATGTGGGCGGGGTCTTTTCCTCTTGATGGTCCCAGAACGCAGCGCTGGAACTATGATAAATATATGATGGATGTATGGTACGTGGTGAGTGGTATGTGGCAAATGGATGGTGAGTGGATAATGAATGAAGGTGGATGTTGAATGAATAGTGACTAACGGATGGGGGATAATGCACACATAATGAGTAGATGGTGGTGGGCAGAGTGCGATGGTGGGGGAATGCTCACTGCTCTCTCTGCACGCTATCCTCCCTCTGTCCTGAGCACCTAGCGCAATGCGAGGCACATAGAAGGCACTCCATCCATCTTCTGGAGGAAATGACTGTGGATGGTGGTAGGTGACACTTTGGATGAAGAGTGAATGAAAGCTGGTGGTGGATGGACAGATAGAAGATTCTGTGAGGTGGACAATGAATGGGTAAGAGATGGTTGGGTGGTAGGGGGTTGGTAGGGAAGTAATTGGTGGGTTGTAGTTCATAGAGATACGAATGGATGAGGGTACAAATGACTGGAGCTGAGTGAATGTGGATGGATGAATTGTGGCTGATTGAATGGCTAGAGTAGGGGTGTCGAACTCAATCAGAGAAGGGGGCCAAAATCTAAAATCCCGCCTAAAATCGCGGGCGAATGGTTTAACGGAACAGTCATAAACTGTCATTGTGATGGAACGCAGCGGAGTGCAGTGATGACAGTGCGGTGCGGGCCACAATTGCAATGCCTGGCGGGACGATTTGGCCGCGGGCCTTGTGTTTGAACACATGTGGGCTATAGGCTCGTGGGGTTGGTGGTGAGTGAATCTGGATAGGTGAACAGCAGATAGATGGTGGATTGGCATTGGCAGCCAGATGTGTAGTGACTGTATAAATGAACGGCAGGGGGGTAGACAGGTGTTACATACTGATGGAAAGTTGTTATATAGTGAATGGTGGGTGGATAGGTGGTGGGTGGGTGGGTGGATGGATGGTGAATGAATGTTGGACTGATGGGTATTTTCATAATGTGCTAATGCTTGGTAAGGGGAGGGTGGGAATGGATGGGAGCGTGATGGGTGGTGGTGGTGGTGGTTGGAGAGTGGATGGTGACTGGGTTGGGTGGTTAATGGGTGCTGGATGGTGGATGGTGGGTGTTGGATGGTGGTTGGTTGGTGTTGGGTGTTGGATGGTGTATGGTGGGTGTTGGATGGTGGGTGGTGGGTGGTGGGTGGTGGATGGTGGGTGGTGGGTGGTGATGGTGGGTGGTGATGATGGGTAGTGGGTGGTGGATGGTGGTTGGTGGATGGTGGGTGGTGGTTGATGGATGGTGGGTATTGGATGGTGGGTGGTGGGTGGTGGATGGTGGATGGTGATAGTGGGTGGTGGGTGGTGGTTGATAAATGGTGGGTGATGGATGGCGGGTGATGGATGGTGGGTGGTGGATGGTGGCTGCTGCCTGGGGGTAGTGGGTGAATGTTGGGTGGTGCACGGTAGGTGACAGTGGTTGGAGGAGTGGGTGCTGAATGGAGTTGGATGCTAGGAGGTGGGAGGGTGGGGATTGGGCAGATCAGAGGTTGGCGCTGTGGCCTCAGGAGTCGGGGCTGTACATTCATCCGGCTGAGTGGGACCTTTTTGGGAATGGGATGGAGGTGAAAACACACACACACACACACACACACACACACACACACACGCACACCGTGGCCCTCCACGTCCTCCCCGCTCTCCCTGGTCCTCTCCCCTCGGGCTGGGCAGGTGTCCTTCTCCGTGTCTGGCCCCACCAGTCTGTGCCCTGAATTCCTGGACCGCACCCTGGGCGCCTGGGACCTCCAGGGAGGGGTCAGGTTGGGGGATGCGGTCTGGATAAGGCCAGACACCGGGTCTACGGGGAGCGGAGCCCCGGGACAAAACAGCGGGCGTGGGTGTGACTGAGGGGCGGGCCGGGGAGCGGTGGGCGGGTGCGGGGACGGAGCAGGAGGAGGGGGAAGCGGAGGGGGTGGGGCTGGGGCTGGGGGAGGGAGGGTGCGGGGGACGGAGCGGGGAGGGGTGCGGGGGCGGGGCGGGGGAGGCGGCCGCGCAGGGCAGCAGCGCCAAGCAGAGCGGAGCGGAGCGGGACCGGGCGCAGCGTCCGGCGCGGTGAGTGCGGAGCGGGCGCCTCCGCGGCCCGGCCCGGCCCGGCCCGGCCCCGTGCGCCCCGGCGGGCAGGGGAAGCGGGAGGGTGGGGTTCCATCGGAGACCCGGGAAGAGGAGGGCGGGAGCAGTGCCTGGGGCTGCACCCCAGCTGGCCTCACACCGGGGAGGGGGGTGCTGGGAGCCTTCGTGCCCCGCGCCCGCGGGCACTGGCCCTGGCGGGGGAGGCAGCCGCTCCGGGCTCGGCAGGTGCCAGCCTCACCTGCGGCTCATCCTCCTTTCTGGGCCGTGTCTGTCTCGGGGTCCCCTCCGCTGGCCCCTCTGCCGTCTGCGGGCCCCCCTCCTCCCTGGCCGCAGCCGCTCTGAGCTCCGGTGAGACGGGGCGGGTTCCAGGGGAGGGTCAGGCCGGAGGGGGGGGTCACCTGGGATGACAGGGGGCCGGTGGGTGTGGTGGCTGCCCGCCCCCGGACCCCCAGAGCCCCCAGGGCAGTGGCCTCCCAGCCACTCAGGGGGCCAGGGCCGAGCTGGCCTGAACCCCACTGCCCAGAACAGCGGCCCCTCTTTCTCTGGGCGCCCGGGACCCTCCCCCGCCGGCGGGCCTGCGGACGTGTCCCCTGCTGACCCGCTTGCCCTCTTCCAGCCCCGCTCCTGCCCTTGCCTGTCCCTGGCCGCTGCCCAAGCAGTGCCAAAGGGAGGCGTCTGCCTGCCAGACCCAGCCCGGCTCTTTTCTTCCTCGTTTTTTTAATTCTCACCGAGGATGTGTTTCCCTATTGATTTTTTAGAGAGTGAAAAGGAGGAGGAGGAGAGAGAGAGAAACTTCAATGTGAGAGAGACACATCAACTGCACGGACGGGAGACACCGGACCCAGGTATGTGCCCGTGACCAGGAAAAGAACCCAGGGCGCTTGGGGGGGGGGGGGTGGCCCAGTGCTCTAACCGCTGAGCATGCTGGCCAGGGCCCACCCCACTTCTCCCTCTGGCTCAGTGCAGGCGGCAGCGAGTCTGAGGCTGGGGCGCCTCTGCCTCTGGCTGACGTGAACCCGGGCCTGCTGCCCCCGCCTCCAGTCTCGGAAGCCAATTTGGATCCCCCTGCCCCACTTCACACTCCCTCCCCCCCACCTCCCTGCTGGCCTGGCTCCCTCTGGCTCTCCCTCCTCAGGTCAGCTGACCCTCTTCCAGGAATCTTCCCAGGTCTTCAGGCTGCATCAGCCTCCGCCCTCCTGCCGCCCTCAGAGCCCCGGGCACTCGGTCTGGTGCCCGCCCAGCGCCCTCCGCTGGCGGCGGGCCGGAGGAGCAGTGACAGAGGTCCAGCTGGGGGGGGGGGCCAGGGCGGGCCGTGCTGGAGTAGCGCAAGGCTCCCGGGGGCGGGACACCCGCCTCAGGCCACCGCCGGCCTGTCCTCACGTCTGTCCACTCACTGTCCTTCCGCCCCGCAGGCGGCAGCATGAGTGGCCCCCCGCCCGACGTGCCGGAGCCCAGCCCAGCAGAGGGGACTGGAGGCCCAGCTGGAAAGGTATGGGTCTGGGGAGGGGTGCCAGTCCTCAGCCTGAGGGACAGGAGGAGCCAGGCTCAGGCCCCGGCTGTGGCTTGGGGCCTGCCTCAGTTTCCCCACCTGCAGTGGGGAAAGTCTGGTGGGGAAAGCAAGGGGAGGCTGAGCTGCCCTGGCCCAGCTCACCCCTGTGGGCTGCAAAGCTGGGTCTCAGTTCTCTGCCAGGCGACTCAGTGCCTGGGCCCTGCCCTCCACTCTGGGTTGGGGGGGTCCATGCTCCCCCCACAAGGCCCCTCGCTCTCCTTCCCAACGCTGTGCGGGCGGCAGGGCGGGGGCATCAAGCAGCGGCAGCCTGGGCAGGCAGACAGAGAGGGGGCCCAGGCCTGGGCCTCCCTCCCTGAGGGGCAGCGACTCCCTGCCCCCTCCTCTGCCCAGGCAGGCGGGAGGCGGGAGGCGGGCCGAGGCCGCAGCCCGGACCACAGCGCCAGCAGGAAGACCCCTATGACCACAGCCCCCAGCCGGGGACACCTCTTCTCACGCTTCAGGGCCGTGGGACATGGTGCACAGCAGGGAGCCGGGCAGGAGCCGGGAGTGGGCACCTGAGCGCAGGGCAGGTGGTGCCAGGGCTGTGTGCCCGCCTTCCTCACGGCTCTCCCTGGTTGGGGAAGGTGGACCATGCACCACCTGCTCCCTGCTGGGCGAGGGGCCTCCGGAGGGACCAGCCTGAGCAGGGCACGGAGGGGCGGGGAGGGGCGGGGAGGGGCACGGAGGGGCACAGAGGGGCGGGGAGGGGCAGGGAGGGGCCTGGAGGGGCAGGGAGGGGCATGGAGGGGCATGGAGGGGCGGGGAGGGGCAGGGAGGGGCACAGAGGGGCGGGGAGGGGCATGGAGGGGCACAGAGGGGCATGGAGGGGCACAGAGGGGCGGGGAGGGGCATGGAGGGGCACAGAGGGGCGGGGAGGGGCATGGAGGGGCACAGAGGGGCGGGGAGGGGCATGGAGAGGCACAGAGGGGCAGGGAGGGGCACGGAGGGGCACGGAGGGGCGGGGAGGGGCATGGAGGGGCACGGAGGGGCGGGGAGGGGGCAGGGAGGGGCACGGAGGGGCGGGGAGGGGCATGGAGGGGCACAGAGGGGCAGGGAGGGGCACGGAGGGGCAGGGAGGGGCACAGAGGGGCAGGGAGGGGCACAGAGGGGCGGGGAGGGGCATGGAGGGGCACAGAGGGGCAGGGAAGGGCACAGAGGGGCAGGGAGGGGGAGGGAGGGGCACGGAGGGGCACGGAGGGGCGGGGAGGGGCACGGAGGGGCACGGAGGGGCATGGAGGGGCACAGAGGGGCACGGAGGGGCACGGAGGGGCACAGAGGGGCGGGGGGGGCGGGGAGGGGCGGGGAGGGGCATGGAGGGGCACAGAGGGGCAGGGAGGGGCACAGAGGGGCATGGAGGGGCACAGAGGGGCACGGAGGGGCACGGAGGGGCACAGAGGGGCGGGGAGGGGCACGGAGGGGCACAGAGGGGCAGGGAGGGGCACGGAGGGGCGGGGAGGGGCACAGAGGGGCGGGGAGGGGCACAGAGGGGCAGGGAGGGGCACGGAGGGGCGGGGAGGGGCACGGAGGGGCGGGGAGGGGCACAGAGGGGCAGGGAGGGGCACAGAGGGGCGGGGAGGGGCACGGAGGGGCACGGAGGGGCGGGGAGGGGCATGGAGGGGCACGGAGGGGCGGGGAGGGGCAGGGAGGGGCACAGAGGGGCAGGGAGGGGCACAGAGGGGCGGGGGAGGGGCATGGAGGGGCACAGAGGGGCAGGGAGGGGCACAGAGGGGCAGGGAAGGGCAGGGAGGGGCATGGAGGGGCGGGCCGCGCAGTGGACTGGTGCTGGGCCTCTACCCCACGGCCTTGAATGGGAGGCGGAGATGCCAAGGGCACGGAGGGCGTGGGAGGCGCCCCGCACACTCTGGTGGGCACCGAACAATGAGCCTGAGGGAGCTGCTCCGGTCGCCACGGCAACTGCTTCCCAGCTCCTCTGAGCAGGGAGGAGGCCAGGACCAGCAGGGGATCCGGAAGGGAAGGGGCGGTGCCGGGTAGGTGCTGGTGGGAGTGCAGTCACAGTGATGGGGCCTTGCCAGCCTGGACTCCTGCCTGCAGAATGGGCCTCAGGGGTCAGCCCAAGCCGCCCTGTGGGTCCCGGGGGAGCTGTGACCCCCAGTGCCCCGTGCCCACCCGGGGGCGGGTGGAGGAGGGGCTGGGGCCCTCTCGGAGCTGTGTGCGAGGGTCCCAGCACAGGGTGGGAGGGAGAGGGGAGCCCAGGGCCCGCACCGCCCTGACCCTGCCCGCCTCCCGCAGGCTGCAGCGGGTGCCAGGGAGAAGGGCCCGCGGCTGGGCCCGCGGCTGCCCTCTATCGTGGTGGAGCCCAGCGAGGCGGGCGCTGTGGAGAGCGGGGAGCTGCGGTGGCCCCCGGAGGGCGTGCAGAGGGGCTCCCCGCAGAGCCAGGCTGCTGCTGGTGAGTGAGGGTGCTGTGCCCCAAAGGGAGTCAGAGCAGGCCTCGCCCCTCCCTGCCCGCCGGCCCACCCAGCAGGCAGGCCCTTCACCCTCCACCTCCCCACCCGCCCTGTGAGCTTCTGCCTGGAGCCTAGGCACTGCCTGGCCTTGCACTCCTCCTCTCCTCCTACCCCCCCAGTCACCGGCTCACACAGCCCCTCACCCATGCTGGGACCCGGTCCGCACAGGGGTGAGCAGGGAGCGCCCTCAGCACCAGTCCCACCTCCTCCCTCCCTTCCTCCCTCTCGCAGTGTCCACTAGGGCCAGGAGGGGTGAGGGTACGGGTGCCAGTGCCGAGCAGGCCCAGCCCAGGTGCCCACCAGGTGGCGATGGGCCAGCCATGGCAGGCCTGTCCTGCCCACAGGTGCTGGTTGGGGTCTGAGGGTGGAGGCCGGGAGCTCGCTGGAGGAGCAGTGAGGGTGGGAGGGCCAGCCGGGAGCCCACTGAGGCGGGAGAGCCAGGGGGCTGGGCCGGGGGGGTGTCTCTTGTGTGGTTTGGAGATGAACTTGGTCTCAGCTGGGATTGCTTTGCACCTGCCTGCCCTCTCCCCCTCCTCACATGTCATCCCCACACACCCACACAGCAGCCCCTGGAGCTTGGGCCTGGTAGGGGCCTGTCCACGCCATAGCCCACCCATCCCCCCAACACCGTCCTCCTCTGTCGGTTCCACGCAGAACAGCACCAGGACACGCCTTCTGTGGGACTTGGGTCCTGGGGCGTCCCCAGGTCTGTCGGGACCCATCTGCCGCCCCTTATTCTGGAGGGGGTGGGTCAGGGGTCCCAGTGTTTGACCTCATCCTTCCTCCCCGCCCAGGGGTGTCCCGGCACCCCTCCTTCCCGCGTGGGGAAGTTGCAGCCGGCCCCCCACCCCCCAAGGTGCAGCCCCACCAACAGGGGCCTTCTTGTCTCGCAGCCCCCTCGCCGAGCCTGCCGGGAGCACCCGGGGACGCGCCAGGCCACCCCGGCAGCCAGTGTGCCGGCTCCGAGGCCCAGGGGTAGGACCAGGCCGGGGCCGGATTCCGCTGTCCCTGCCGACGGCCACTGCTCCCTGAGGCTGGGAGGGCCTCAGCCCCGGATAATGCCTCCTCTGCTCACCCCTCTGGCCTCTCCCTCCGGCCAGGCCTGTAGCCCCCCCCCCCCTCACCCAGGGGCGGGGCGGGGCGGGACCACCCCTCCGTGTTCTGTGGTTTGAAGCAGAAATAAAGGCGTTTCTAGGAGTGGCACCCTCGGTGGGGACTGGAGGGGCCGAGGACAGTTCGGTTCTGCCGCTGGCTGCCCAGCCAGGGTTTCTGCTCGGAGCCCCATGGCCAGGCAGGAGCGGCTCCTGGACCACCGCGCCACCCCTCCTGGGGGCCTGCAGCCCGAGGGAGCCTGCGGGCAGGACTCTGCTCTCACCCCTCTTCCGGGCAGGAATGGTACAGGGTGGGCCCTCTTCCGGGCTGGATCACGTGAAACCCTACAAGGCCCAGTTCACCCTTAAGGTCCCTGAGGTGTGAGGGAGGTGCCCAAGGCTGTAACGAGGTCCCTGAGGCCAGGAAGCCGCCAGCTGGACACAGAGCCCAGCCTGGGAGGTGAGGGTCCCGGCACCATTGCCGCTTGGCTCGGGCCCACTGCACCAGGACAGGGCAGAGGCCTGGGCCACGGCCCTGGTGTGCCACCCTCCCCGCCAGCCCCCTGCCCTCAGCAAGCCTGGCCACCAGGCCGGCGGAGCAGGCATGAATGTCAGCCCCACAAACACCAGGCGCATGCGGGCAGTGGGGCTGGGCGGGAGCCTGCCCTGGGAAGCAGGCGGCCTTCTAATCCCCAGGAAGAGCAGGACTTCTCCAAGCCCCTTCCTTCTAAAAATAGCCCCCCCCCCCCATGCAGGAGAGGTGGGGGCGGAAGTGCCAGTTTGCCTGCGGCCTGGGCTCTGCTTTAAGTTTAGTCTCGGGACCCCTGCGCCCCACACAGGCCCAGGCGCTCCGTGGCCCCCCCTGGTCTGCAGCGCGGGAGGGGTGTTGGGTCCTTTAAGCCCCGGGGGCCCCCCAGGAGGTGGGAAAGTGGGGAGACACTTCCCAGGAAGTGCTGCGGGGCTTGCTGACACTTTAGGGCCAGGCACGGAGGGGAGGGGTTCCAGGTCCCCCTGTGGCAGGCGGGAGGGCGATGGTGCCACACGCAGAGATTTATCCTCCCCCTCCCAGCCGTTTGGATGTGGCTTCCCCACGCCCCGCAGCCGACCCACAGCTGAGCTCTGAATCCCAGGTGCTCGGAGGCCCAGGCGTGCGGCCCCCTCAGTGCCACTCGGGAGCCCGGTGCCCGGCGAGCTGGGAGGAGGGGTGCAGACCCAGGGGGAGCGCCCGGTGCCCGGCGAGCTGGGAGGAGGGGTGCAGACCCAGGAGGCAGCCCCGAGCGGGGGGCAGAGCATCCCTACCCCGTCCTCGGCTCCCGGAGCAGCTCAGGAACCCGCAGCCGCCGACCCGCACCGTTAACCCCGCAGAGTCCCGCCCACCGCGCCTCCCGCTTCTCCGGAGAGGTGGGGGCGGCGCCCGGGAGACGCCCGCCCAGGGCTAAGCCCCGCCCCGCCCCGTGGGCCTCCGCACGGGCCGCTGGTGTTGGCGGTTCCACCTTGGAGACGGGAGCTCGGCCATCCCCAGCCAGTGGGGGCCCAGGATGGAGCCCCGGCCTCCGGCCCTCAGTCTGGCTCCGTCTCCGGTGGGATCTGCCCGGTGGCCTCCGCACGGGGGTGAGGAGCGCCGGGGTCAGACGGGCACCGGGTGCTGAGGGTCCGAGCCCTGCCCTCCCCCCCTGGAACCAGGTCCTGCGGAGGCGAACCCATTAGACTCACAAGCCCTACTTCATGGAGGAGAAAAGGGCTCAGAGTCAGCAGTGCCTCTCCCAAGGGTGCAGCCCAGCCTCGACTGCGACCTCCGACCTCCATCTGCCGTCCCCCAACCGGCCAGACGGGCCCTGGCCCAGGCTCCTGTCTCAGGCCTTTCCAGGGGGATTCCGCTCGGAATGCTGGGGAAGCAACAGGGACAGGGACGTGGAATAGAAGACGCGTAACAGCCTCCAGCTGAAAACTGGCCTCGGCCTGGGCAGGTCGGGGCACAGCCTCGGTGACTGCCTGCCTGGAGGGGTATGGGGGGGGGGTAGTGCAGGAGCGACCCCAGCCCTGGGCACCACCAGCTTTCCAGGGGCCTGTCTGCTGGGTGGAGGTCCCAGGACGTGCCCTGTGAGCGAGGGGGCAGGGGGGTCAGACGGAGGGTCCCCCAGGGCCTGTCCCCAGGGATGCCCAGTCCTCTGAGGTGGAAACCGAGGCTGGAGCTGGTCTCTCGCGCCAGCTGTGGGCCGTGAGCAGTCCTGTGCTTCCGAGTCAGAGCCCCAGTGCAGTGTGGGTGGAGGGCACCTGCCCACAGGGCACCCAGCAGAGCCCCCAGGGAGCGGCCCTGGGAGGGCGCCTCTGTCTCTGGAACTGTGCTCGCCCCTCCCTCACTTAGAGACGCAGGGAATGGTGGCCGTGGGCAGGCAGCTGGAGCGAGGGGGGACGGCCCACCCAGCCAGCGGGGTGCCCCGCGGGCTGGAGCTGGGACTCTTACGACCACACTTCACAGAGGGGCACCCAGGCTCAGGGCTCAGGGAGGAGAAAACCCAGGGCTTCCCAGGGAAGGTGTGGCAACGTAGCGGCCCCCCCCTGAAGGCGGCAGAGGCGCTGCACAGCCCCGGGCCTTCCCGTCGGGTAAGGGCTGGATTTCGCTCAAACATTTCTTACGCTGGGACCAGGTCTCCGTAACTCAGGAGGCGCTGCACTGGCAGAGTGGGTGCCTGGGCATGCTTACGTCAGAGCGAGGCCGGCAAGTGGGTCCGAATCCAACATGGCCGACGACCTTAGCAGAAGAGGGGACACAGACGTGTACAGAAGGAAGGCCACACGGGGACACGAGAAGAAGGCAGCCACCGCCCTAATGGGTTTGGCTCAGTGATAGAGCATCGGCCTGTGAACTGAGGGGTCCTGGGTTCGACTCCGGTCAAGGGCATGTACCTTGGTTGTGGGTACAACCCCAGTATGGGGTGTGCAAGAGGCAGCTGATAGATGCTTCCCTCTCATCAATGTTTCTAACTCTCTTATCCCTCTCTCTTCCTCTCTGTAAAAAAATCAATAAAATATATTTTAAAAAAAGAAAAGAGAGATGGCCACCTTCAAGCCAAGGGGCGGGGCCTCAGGAGACACCAGCCCTGCGCTCACCTGGGCCCCGGCCACCAGCCTCCAGCGCCCGGAGAAATACCGTCTGTGTTTGCGGGCCTCCGACACCAGCCCACAGCTTGTCTCCGTCATCCCCCTGCCCGGTGGCTCCCGCCCAGGTGGGACAGGCCTGGATCTGTCCTCCTGGGTTTTCCCTAGGTTTCTTCGGGGCGGCTCTGGGCGGAATCCCCCGGGGCAGGGCGGGGACGCCTCTTCTGGGAAGTCTCCGTGCCCCTCCCGCCCAGGAAGCTCTTCAGCCCAGCCTGGGAGTCCTGGGCCTGCCCTGCACCGCTCCCAGGCAGACCTCGCCCAGGGAGCCCAGTGTACCCAGTGCTGTCACCTGTCCCCCCCCCCCCCCCCCGGCGACTCTCCCCCTTGCCCCTCACCAGACGGGCCCATGGTTCTGCTCTCCTGGCTCTCAGGTGGCCCCTGGGGCGAGTCTGAGCCTGGAGCTGGCACCTCTGTCCCAGAGGGCGCAGTGGGCCAGGGTCCTGCTGGCCCGGGGCTGACGGCAGGGGGAGCTGGCAGTGGGAGCTGGCCCCAGGGGCGTCCACTGCTCCGGAGCCGCCTCCTGGTCCCAGAGCCGCAGCCTGAGCCCGGCCGGGCTGCCAGGACTCAAAGGTTGGAGAGATTGGCTGGAAAGGCAGGGGCTGGAATGCTTCTGAAAGTGAAAGTGGGAGGGGGGCGGGCTGGGGGAGGGACCGGTGGGCAAGGCAGTGGCTGGCTGCTGGCTGCAGCTGGGAAGTCCCAGCTGTTGTTGCTGGCTCTGGCTGCTCCAGTGGCCGCACCACTGGCCAGCGCTGGGGCGCGCTCCGCGGCCTCTCCTGGTGGCCTTGTCCCACCAGGGCCAGTGTCTCGTGCTCAGCAGGTACGTCCCACGCAGGTGGAGCAGGAGGGGACGGGCGCCGGGGCCGGTGGGCGGGGACTCGGGGAGTGAGGACCTTCCGGGCCTCCCAGGGGCCTTCCGGCCAATGGCCTCTGCTCCACTCGGAGCCCAGGCCAGCGTGCCAGCTAAGCCACAGTGGACACACAGGCAGGCAGGGACATAAGACACGCGTGCGGGCACAGACAGACGGACTTGGGGAGAGCACTCGCAGACCGCCTGACACATACCTTCTATTAGATCAGAGGAGCACGCAAGGGGACACACTTAGACCTATGCACGGTAGTGTGGGCACACCCACGGGCTTCCACTCCCACCTTAGACGGCTTATCTGTTCCTTGGGCACCTGCCCAATGGGTCACGCCCAACCCTGCCCTGAGGGCGCCCTGGTTAGAGGGCAGATGCCCCAGACCCTGTGCTTGTCCCTGAGGACGGGAGAAGGCCTGCCAGGGCCAGACCAGACTCGGAGCGGGAGGTGCTGGGCGCGCTCTGTGGTTCAGCTGGTCCGGGAAGGCTTCTGGGAGGAGGAGTCACTTGTGCCAAGCCCTGAAGAGCCTTGAAGGAGCTGGCAGCCGGGGGAGGTGGGGGGTCACTGTGGGCAGAGGCACAGCCCTGCAAACTGGGGGAGAGGTGAGTGCTTCTGGTGCTCAGAGGTGGGAGTGGGGGGAGCCAGAGGGGCTTGAGCGCCAGCCAAGGGGAGTCTGAGTGACGGCAGCCCCGAGGGTCTCACCAGGATGTGTGTGTGGCCATGGACGGGGAGTCAGGTTTTCCTGGGGCACGGGGAGCTGTTTTCTAAGCAGACGATCATGTCTCCTGTGATCAATGATGGTTTTATCAGGCGCTTCCCACCATTCCCCTCTGACTTCTTTTCCTTGCCTGATAGCGTTACCAGACAGTGTGGGTGGCACGCTGAGAACACACGTTCTCAGCGTGTGTTTCAGGAGACGCTTAGCTTAGCATGCAAGGAGGGTCTCGG